GAGCAGAGCTGCTATGGCTTGGAACTGAATTAGCTGCAATCAAAGTCGATTCCCAGTCTTATAGTAAAATACATTGTGGTGCTACACTGATATTGGGCAAGGCTTTTTTATAGAGCTCACTGAGCTGTAAATCATACATTTTGTCATGGTGCCCCCCCCGCCAGACAATATGTGCACAACCACTGTGTCTGAGCACAGTTGTTAAGAGCCTCCAACTCCATTTGGCATGTTCCATTGTGTGAAATTATCAGGAACTCCTAATGCCACTGGTCCTGCTGCCACTCCAAGGGGCATATTTCAGCGTTGCACTCATGCACAGCTATACAGAGGCAAACTGTTGAGGACAGTGACTATTGCACAAATCAACACAGGTAGAGGTCAGCATTTTACTCTGCTGGTAGCTCAGAAACACCCGTTCTTTAATGCAATCAGAGCTGAAAATACATTTTGAAAACATGCTTTTTCTTATGCTAGGAACTGTGTGCTCCTGGCTGAATGGAGGTGGTGATCTGCAAAGGCTGCTGAGAATGGCATTATATCGAGCACAAAGACAGGGAAATTTGCTTTTCTGTCTGCTGACCCACAGGATCTCTGCTTGCTAGCAGAAAAAAATGGAGAACACTGCTGTCTGGCCCTATTGAGGGCTCCCTGACTAAACACCTCGTTCTGAAAAGGGCAACCAAAGTTAATCACCAATAGAGCAGAGCAGTCTGCTGTTAGGGGGAAAACAAATAAATGCTGCTCTTTGCAAATGCTTCTTGCAGTCACAACGCAGAATTCCAGAAATACTGGCCTGGAGTAAGTCCTCTTACAAAACCTCTGCCCTAACAGACGATTTAAACTATCTAGGCTGTTCTGAAGGGACAGGGCTGACACAGTTGGTAAAGATCTCTAATGAGGTCTTCTACAGATTTCTCAGGAACTTATTACTCTGCTCACTTATCACTGCCATAAGAAAATCCTCTTCCTTACCTGAATGTCCCCACTAGTATCCATTTCTGTTACTTCTTGCCATGGCTCTTATGAACCTTTAATGTTTTCACAGACAGATACATATTTTCTCAAGTTTTTCTTCTCTAGACTAATTAACTCTAATTTATTCATTCTTTGTTTTATAGCTTATGCTTGTTTTTCTCGGAAACTTCCTGTCACTCTGCATCATTCTTGATGCACAGCCCCAAAAGGGAAGATTCAGAAATTCTTCTGAGGCTTTGTCAATGCTGAGAAAGGTAACAGGTTACTTCACACATCTTGCAAGCTGACTTCTGTTTGCACGTCTCGGTGCATGCCACGTGTGCATGCTTCATGACAGCAAGCCCCAGATGATCTTCCTTAGGGATGCTACCCAGCTGGTTGTTCCTCATCTGCTGTGTGTGTCATTGACTATTTCTTCTGAAGTGAGTGCCTTCAACATTCCCATATTGAAATTAACTTTTCAGGTGCAAGTACTCCAAGTTGTCAAGCTTGGTTTGAATTTAATTCTGCCCTCCATTTCACTTGCAAACTATTTCAGCTTTACATGAACTGATTCGATTTAATAGCACAAATGTCATTACCCTGGCTAGTGAAAATAGGAAATGATAGTATGTTCAAAAGAGAAGTCCAAGAATGAGCTGATTTTGTACATCCTTTTGCTTAAGGAGTGAGCCACTTGTAATTACACTCTGAAGAAGACTACCCATCAATTTTGTTCTGCCTTGTAGAAGCTTAATCATTGTCATACATCTCTCAAGCATAAGATTAGTGCTGAGGTAGTGCCAAAAGCCTTATTAGAGCCCAGCTATAATATCTGCTTCTTATTCTGTGTCTACATGGCATTATCCCATTGGGAAAGAAAATTAGATTGATCTGGCACTACTTTTGGAAGGTGTTTTTAAAAAGTTTTAATAACTATTGCAGAACTTTTCTAGGCTTTGATGTTTAACAGACTAATCTACCATTCCCCAAATTCCCTTTCTTACTATGTTGAAGGGAGGTGAACACAGAAGTTCCCGTCCATCTTTCAGTGTCCCCCTCACTTTCTGCATCCTCCAGTCAATTATGAAAAGCCTTTTTCTGAATGAAGCAGCCACATTTTTCAGGAAAATGCAGAAAAAAAGATATGACTCTTCCTACAGTTAGTGAAGGTGATTAAAACTGCTACCTAAACCTCACCAGAGGCACATCCTCCTCTCCTCCAGCCCTTTTCCATACTGGCACATAGGTGCCTACCCAAAATACCATTCCCTGGATCTGCTAAGGGCAGGGAAACCACTTGAATTACCCAAATGCTTTGCCAGTATGACCAAAATATACTGGGGCAGATGATGGTGTCTATCCTGGGAGTGCTGCAAGCAAGGGGAGCAGAAGGAGGAAGCAACCAAGTTGTATCACATTTAACAGAGGTACCAGAGATGCACTCCACTCTTCTGTCATACTATTTTCACATACTTCTTCAAGAAGTGTGATACTTTCAGTGGAAATACTTAATGGGAAATATCTTCTTGGTTTTGTTACTGAAAGAGCACTCACTTTCTGACTGGCTTTGGCTTCTAACATAGCAATCTCAATCGAGCAGGTGGTACACAGGAATGAAAAGAAATTCAATGTGTAGCCACCTCATTTCCCTCAGAAAAGGGAGGCAGATAACTTTGAAAGATTAGACACCTGACCACACATTTAAACTTGCATTAAAAGAAAAATTTCTTCAGGAAAGTATTCTATGCATTTAGCAACAGGGGTTTCTTACATTAAAAATTTGACAAGATTTAAGGAGAAAATTCTTCATGGTGACAGTGAAAAGACACTGGAACAGGTTTCCCAGAGAAGCTGTGGGTGCCCTATCTCTGCCACTATTCAAGGCCAGGTTGGAATGGGACTCTGCACAAGCTGATGCAGTGCAAGCTTCCCTGCCCATGTCACAGAAGGATGGAACTACAGGATCTTTAAGGTGCCCTCCAACCCTATTCTATCATTCTGATTCTATGAAATCATCTTGGCCTTAATCTATAAGGCAAAGAAGACACAGAAGTACTCATGTGTCTTTCTCATTACCTTCCCAGATGGAAAACGAAGCCAACTAAGTATCTGGGGTCGAGTTGTTGGAAGGAAATCACAAGCTGATATTGCCTTACTATGTGCTCCTAAGAGGGCTGGTCACTGAATCAGATGCAAGAGCTGATGTTACCCCTGCTCCAAGCCATGGCAAGTGCAACCATCAGTTCCTCTGTGCTTTCCCTTTCTGCCTGAGAACAGGAGGGGACACAGTATTTTCAAAGTTAGTCGAATGAGAAGCTAATCACTGAAAGCCCAGAGGCAGCCACCTGGGCTAGCAGCCACCAGCCCTCCCTGCCAGCCCTGGCTCATGCCCTTTTAGCACTATCCACACTTCTTTTTTATCTTGTGGTTTACAGCGGTGGGCTCAGTCTGTTTGTGTCCTGAGCCAAACTCACAAAGATGTTTTTAGCTGAAGGGACACTTCAGAAAGAGAAACTGGTGTGGGAGGTAGTGCTTTTCATGTCTCCTCCCTGAACAGAGATTCTCAGTCCCAGCAGTGGGGCTAGCACAGCTCTCCTCCCTTTAGGAGGGGGAAAAAAAAGGACAAGTTATCTTGCACAAGGCAACTTCAATGCAACGTGTGGAATGTAGAACTTTCTGGGTCAACAGGATGGAAAAGGCAGACAATGCTCACAATTTGACATCTAAAAACCACTAGTGTAAAAATCCCACAGATGACTATGACGACTGCCTTTCCTGTGCCATCAAAACTGCAGTTGCCTTAAGATCTCACCACTAAACAACACCACTTCCCCCTAGCTCTGGCAGCTGATCAGTCACCACTTGCATGGCTCCTTAGCCCAAATAAGGACAGCCCCTCACAGCCATTTCTGCATTTCACCCCATGTTCTCATGGTCTGCCTGGTGGGTGAACCCCCTCACCACCCTGACTCTGCTATCCTTTTGATTCACACTGCCCCACGAAAACTGTCAGGGGTACTGTAGGTGGCTCAGAAGTGAAGCAAAAACCCACTTTTATCAAGTTTAAGATTATTATTTACAAGTGTATTCTCCAAGCCACAGTGGAAAGCGTTATTTCCTTCTGAAGGATGGAGAGCTGTGACAGGGTTTAAGTTTCCAGCACAAATGTGCCTTGGGAAGCTGAAAGAATCATAGAAAATTTTAGGCTGAAAAAGGCTTATAAGATCAACAAGTCCTGCTGATGACAAAATAAAGCTTTTGATTGTAATGCATAAGATATATCCATTTGCACACATAAAAAAAATATAAGCTACCACATCTCCCTAGGTACACGCCATGCCAAGGGCATTTCTGGTGCAGAGATATCCACAGTTTATATTGACTCCAGTGTTATCAGTCTTGCTCTACCCCCAGCTATAGGTACTGTGGGGATCACCACAGTCCCTGAAGTCTTGTGAGAAGGGGGTTGCCAACTTGCCCCAGTTCAGTATGGGTCATGCAGACATGTGTGCACACAAAAAGTAAAGGAAATATGAGGAAGCAGCCTTTGCAACCCAGCTATCCAGACATGACCATCCAGACCACAAAGATCTCTGGCCCAAGTATGGACCAACGACTCTTAAGAATAGTTTTCCAGGAACTGAAATCAATGAAGAGACCCTGGGCAAGTCTGAAGAGAATCATGCCTTCCTGCCAGCTAAGCAAAATGAATTGTGAACCCTAAGAAACACTAGGACCTCATAATATCCTATTTCCATATCCCAGACCTACAGACATTAAAGCCAACTTTTCAGATGCCATTCCCTGCAGAGCAAAAACATGAACTGTGAGAAGCAGCTAGTCAAAAACAAAATCATAAAATAATTCCAGATCCCATGATGGTCTTGAAAAATCTTCAGTGACTGTTTCAGACTACAGGTATTTTACAGTACAGCTGTTGAAATAGATAAAGGAGTGATTTACGATGTGAATAACAACTCTCGGCTCACCAGTGAAGTAAGGAATGAACTAGTCCAGCAGGCCAACAAAACCCGGATACATACCAACACAAGTGTGTCCTTTGTACAGCCCAAAGGGGAGCGAAGGAGGTCGTGGGTCTTTTCCACGAGGTGGGGGAGAGGAAGAGGAAGTCTTCAGCAGAAGCAAGAGCAAGAATAAATTAAGAAATGTTTGCCTAGACTCCTTCATCCTAAGGAAGAAAAAAAGGAAGAAATCAGGCAGAAAGGGTGCAAGTGGACCTGTATTCACTTGACTCTCAGGGAATATCTTGCACTGGTGCAGTTTGAGGAGAAAGGAGATTGGCATGCCTCTGCAGCTGTAACACGGGGACAGATTCCCAAGCGGGACAGAGTCTGCCCTCTCATGGGGTGCATGGAGGATCCCACACTCGCACATCACAGGTGCTGTCCTGACCCTTCAGCCCCTCTCAGGCCCTGCCACCCATTAAGCCCAGCGGAACCCATAGACCTGTGCAGGCCGTGACCAGGCTGGGAGGATGCCCTTGTGGCCCTGACCCCAGGCTGCTCTCCACACCCCCACGTAACCCCACTGCCCCATGTGCAGCTCTTCCCAACCTGCTGGCCTAGAAGGACCAAGAGGGTTGGATGAACAGCTCTGGCTCAGCACTCCCGTGTCTCCTGCAGCAGCAGCAGCAGATGACTAACGACCTTGAACCGCAGTAGTTGCCAGAGCCACTCAGCATTAGTAACACAAGACACTCCCCTGAAAAACTAGTGTTGCGAAAAGGGAAAAAGGAAAAAAGAAACAACTCTACAAACCCTTCCCCCAGTGCCGTCACTCCTCTGCCCTCCTCCACAGAAAAGAAAGAAAATATCTCTCTGGTTGCTTCTGTAAAATTTCTGACCAGGGTTTCCGTTTGGGAGGACTGAGTGAAAAATGAAAGACACTGCTCAAGATGGAGCCGCAGGGCTGGGAGGGATGGGGCTGCTGTGCTGGGGTTTTGCCAGGGCCTTAGTTCTGCTGTGACTGAGGCATAGGGATGGGAGACAGCTGCCAGTGTGAGGGTAGCACTGGGAGCTGAACTCCTGCTCTCATCAGCTTTGAGCACATTTGCTTGCAGCCCCTAGCTACCTGAGAGCCTTGAGAAATCCTGTGCTGTTCCTACTTTGGCAGTCACAACAACTAAAGGTTTCCCTGTCTCTATTTTTTTTAATCCCTCAGACAATGCATAAACCAGTCATTTCCCAGCCTGAAGCAAATGCAGAGCAAAACATGTTTAAATGAAGTGACTTTAGAGGTGGAACAAGTCCAAACAGCTACATCCCAGACACTGCAGATGCAAGGATGGTTTTAAGGAGGCGATTTAGGACTGAGGCACTGGAGGGCCAATGCTATGCCCCACCTCTGCCTCTGTATTTTTGTATGAAACCTGGGCAAGTCTCTTCCCCTCACAGTGAGTAACGGGTACTCATCTTTCCATTCCTTGTCTGTCTCTTCAGAAGTGGGCAGGCCAATGACATGTGTTGCTAAAGGACAATGAGGAGCCTGTGTCATAAAGTATCCCTACATGCTTCCCAGGAAAAAATTAAAATAGATTTATACATGGTGTTGTAAAAAGAATAACTAGAGGAGATAGTAAAATCAGCAATTGCCAGCCAGTTCCTGCAGACCAACATGATCACACATGGATCAGATCCGCTTCAGTATTTGATGTGTTTTTTGCAAACCACTTCCTTCCTTCGGAGCCTCCCCTATGACTTTTTAAAGACAGTCGCAGAAAGTTTGCCTCAACTTTGATGAAGATTTGCCTTGTGCTAATGATGATATAATCTAGTGGCTCTGGAAAAAAAAATCTTCAATGTACAAATCACTCTGTATTTCTGTTCTTTAAGTCAAACCATTTGCTTTCAAATGTATGCTTTCCTTTAAAAAAATATAAAAACTAATTAAACCCAAAATGAAGGCAATAGCTGTTGCCTGAGTTTTGCAGAACAGTTTCTGTTTATCACTCTCCCAATAGCTAGCAATGTTTTCTTTTTTCTTTAATAGCAGATAAAGAAAAATCATACTGCAAAGTACCTTATCCATATGCTAATCCTACTGAAATCTGCATGATGTTTTTCTTAACGCTGTAAAAACTTTCTATAAAAAGATACTGCTACAGCACTGCAGCTCCATTAAACCCTTTGTAACACACATATCACTTGGTTCCCAATGACACTTTGAAGTCCTTTAAAACTCTCTATATTGGCTCGTGACTGCTTGCTGCAAAAGCGGAGTGCTAATAATAGGCAAGAAAAACCTTCCTAGCAGAGAGGTCTTTGGAATGGTTTCTGCTCTATATCTATTGCAAAACACAAAGCAAAACAATGGCACTTACAAAGTACAGAGACAGATCCCAAGCTGCTCCCAGGCATGTAAACCTGCAAAGCATGTAGCTGAATCCTGTAAGCAGCTGTGTTATTCTCTTTCATTGTAGCCTTTGGAAAGAGCGGTGAGATAACTCTGTGTGTAACACAGAACTGCTTTGCACTCTGCCTTACACATTGGTGAAGCTCTTAAACCAATTAAAGAAAAAAAACCCACAAAGCTTTTAAAATATGCATCTGGTAAGAGAAATGAGGGATTTGCATACTTAGATATAGAGACCGGCTCAGAAGGTGAACCCTCCACCTTCTCCCCTCCACTGGCCCCTCCCCAGACTGGTGCAAATTTTTTCTTCTTCCCACTCAAATCAGATAGCAAATCCTGCCTTTTGCCAAGCAGATTTTAAGACCTACAGCTGTCTTGGTACAGGAGCCAAGGAGCACTTGATGTTGCCTTTTAATCTTAGTAAGTGCATAAATGATGTTAATGAGAGGTAAAAACCAAATTAGACCAGCCTCAAAGGAAGGGATTTGATCATAAATGCTTCCATTAGGTTATGCACAACACCCAAATCAGAGAAGCAGACCTAGGTCAAGGATGACTCAGAAGAAGCTGCCTGCCTAGAAATAAAGAATATGAGAGCTGGAGCAAAGGGAGCTCTGCCCTCTGCAAAGCACCAGGTGCAGAGAGGTGATGAGGTGATGTGTGGGGTATCCCCTGTCCAAAAGGGTCTGGTAGGGTCACCCTGCAGCTTTTGACCATTTTTGTCTCCTCAGCTCTATTGTTTTCCAATGTGTTTGCAACCTGGGCTTACAGCAGGTCCAGCCAGGTGGCAGAGGAGTGTAGTTCGGGTGGGTTCTCAGAGCTGATGGGGCTGCTCAGGGTTGTTATAGCTCATAAGTGCCTCAGAGCCCTGACACTTGCCTTTGGAGACCATGAGAGCCAAATGGGTGGAGGAATGAACTCTGCAGAAATGCTCCTAGACACCCCACTAAGTATCTGCCTGCAGCATTACTCACCTCAATAGTACTGAGAATGCAGTCAATATTTTGTGTCTCTGAATCTCCACATGTGGCTTTTGAAGAGAAGGCATGGACAGCACAGAGCCAGAGGTGTTGTGAGATCACCACCCCTTGCAGATGGGAAACCTTCAGTGCCCTGAAATAACCCAGCTCCACAGTCATTCACTTGCTATTAGGCAGAAGACATAGAGTCTGTTGAATTTTTTCAAGGTTGAATTTGGACTAATGATAATATACGCATAAATAAATACACATGCATATCCATGGTACAAGCTGGCCCACCCACTGCTGCTTCCTGCTGAGGAAATGGGAGGGACCACAGCTCCCTCCATTCAGCACACGGATCAGGAGAGATGTACGTTATTCTGCAGGATTTTGGTTAAATTCTGCTCCAAAGCAAAGTCCTGCAGCTCTCTGTAGTTGCTCTCAGGATGCCAAGACACACTGAAGAGCTTGCTCAGCTCACTCAGCTTGATCCAGTCTATGTTTTTTTGGGAGTTTTAGCACATGTGGGGGCCTCCAGAATTAAATCCAAGTCAGTAGTCAGTATGATGTGTGGGGGACACACCATATAGGGAAGGGCTTTGGTTGGAGGTCACCAGAGAGGCCACAGGGGCTAATGGAGTGCTCCGCTCGGTAACTCCCAGCCCAAGCATGCCAGCCACACCCTCAAGCCTCTCTCAGTTTAAGCAGAGTTTAGAGAAACTTGCACACGTGATGGCTGCCAAAAACCTGAGGCAAAACATGCAAAGATAAGCCTGAATTTCCATGATGGCAGAGCAGTGTTAGGGTACATGTGTAGCTAGTGAAGAAATACAATTCTCAAGGCTGATCCCAAGAACTGAATTAGGGTTTCTGATTTCCTGAATAAGGTCTTAAACATGATTTAAGAGTTACCCCTTCCCTGTAGGGAGCAATATGTGATTGCCATTAGAACGGTGAAATGAGATGTGAGTGTGAAGTTAGCTTCAATGCTGCTTTCTATAAAGGGTCCCAAAAGATCTGTTCATGTATACGGCAAATACATTGAAAAAAGCCATTGAAAAGAAAAGAGGATGGAAAATACTTCATTGAAGCCCCAAAATAGGACGAGCAAGAATTGATTCGTCATCTGTCAGGATTAGGGGCCGCTTACTGAAAAAAGAAATATGAAATAGTTATCTTACAAAAGGAGATCAGCTGGCAGTGTATATTTATCTATCCTATTCTGTCCAAGTCACTGCACACATTACTGCACTTTTTTTCCTGTTTGGTTAGATTCTTTTACAAATTCATTTTTAAGATACGCATTTTTTTCTTTTTGTCACATTCATGCATGCATTTTTCTGATGATTAAATGTTATCTTGGAGGGTTTTCTTTCCCTTTCTCTTTGACATGCTGTTCAGTTCTTAAGGGAATAGATATAAGCCTTGTATTTTTATATCTGGAGAGATAAAACCTGCAGGAAGAAACCTTTAGATCAAAGATAACCTCAGTCTCTTTTCATACTTTAATTTTCAAAACAGTGTCCTTTGTGCCCTTTGACTCTGAAGTTCCCAGTGGTTTTTTGCATTGGTTATTTTTCATTACTGCTCTCCAAATTTCTCTGCAGTTGGTGCATTATCACTGGCATGGATGAACATTTCCAGAGCCTCATGTGGATTTGCGACTGCACCACAGCCAACTGAGTCATTCCCTCTGCCCCAGTTTCCTTATCAGTTGCTGCTTGCAGTTCAAGTTATGAGTCTCTTTCAGAGTTCCTCAATCTCATTGTCATTCAAAGCTGCAGGGAAAGCATTTAAACCAGTATTTTCTTCCACTCATATCTAAAAATTTGTTCCAAGTTATTGTCATGGTGTAGCTGAGATTATTATCCTTTTATTCTGCCACCTTTAATGAAATTAACTGTCCCAGCTTGCAAGGCTGTTGATATCTATGCTCTTAGAAATGCAAAACACTGACATGACTTACTTCAGTTTGGATACAACAAAATGTGGGAAAGCCTCTTAAGGCTTTCAAACAGGGGACCCATGAAAAATACAGCTACCTCACCTTGCACACTTGTTCACAGCAGGTTGTGCACTTCTGGGAAGGTCTGGCTGTTATGGTTGACAAAAGCAGATGACTTTGGATTTTCTACTAAAGATGGCTTTCTGCAAAGCAAAGATTGGATGAACTGCATCTTCAAAGTGTATTTCTTACTACTGCCTGTAAAGAGCCCTATAATAATTTACATGGTTTAGTGATGGACTTGACAGTACTGATCTTAAAGTCTTTTTCCAAACTAAACAATTCTTTGACTCTGTGATTGTTGGTCATGCAGTACATTTCCT